TGTTTAACAACTTACTTGATTATATTAGATTTTATATTTATAGATAAAAATCTTTATGCAGGGGCAAAGACATCTTTCCAGCACTGTACAAGTGTATGCATGTGAAGCATGCTTGTTTTGAAGGAAAATCAATTTATGATAATATAGCATAACATACAAATAATCTCTAACTGTAAAGGATAAAGAAAACATTGCAGAAATTATTACAAAAAAGTGAGTTTTACTTTGTTAGAGAATTGTTTTTGAGTATAATGCATTGCCACTGTACTCAATCACCTAACAGACATCAGGTTGAATGTTAAACAGATATTGGCATCATATGTATGAATATGATCCACCAAGATCACATTCATGATTTGCATCTTGATGTTTGATATTACTGCTGAATTATTGTCTGACTTCATGTTCCTTTGTTTAGGATTTTTATTTTACTGAATGCATTAATTTATCATTATCATGATATTTTTAAATGACTTAATCTTTACCCCTGTATAGTTATTTAAGTATCAGTTATTTTATCACTGAAACATGCATGTACCACATGCACAAACTCATACAATGCTGAAAAGATCTCTTTTGTCCTTGGACAGATGTTTAAGTGATTATCCTATACAGTAGAGTGTCGTTTATCCGAAAGTCAATTATCCAAAAGAATTCCAGTCGGCAAATTTAAATTTTCACCAGTGCTGTGGCACTGCAATCTTTGGCTATGTCTTGGGCTACTCAAATATTTTACGTTTTTGATACTAAATTAACTTCTGAAGTATAATTTTTTATTGTTTTTATATTTTTCAATACATTTATTTTGTTTGTACAAAATAAAAAAATAATTTTTAACGATACAATAGTCTTTGTTAGGCTTAACATCGACGAAAATTCAACATGAAGTGACACACAACGGAGAAAAATTTCAACATGGGATAGGTTAATATATTTTTTCGTACATAATTGGTTATCTGAATTATCGATTTTCCGAACAACCCCAGTCCCCAATTGATTCGGATAAACGACGCTCTACTGTATATATTATCTGTTATAAAGTAGTAACAATCAAGAAGCCATAATTTAATTTAATGTTATAGAATTTTTAATTTTCTTTTTCAACTAATAATAAATATATAAACTGAATTGTAAATATCAGATTTGATCTATATAAAGTTCAAAACTGGTCATTTAAACCATGTAATAATTTGTAATTAATTAAAGTGAATTCAACATATTTGTTTATTATTGATGAAAACAGTAAACAATTTCAGTAGAAACAAATTAAATATTCCAATACATTTTCATAACAAATATTACTCAATATTAGTATTTTGAATAAGTTTCTGGAAAAATAAAACAATTTTCTTCAAATGTTAATACATGTTATATCTGTATTTGATATTTAATGTATACACATACTCAGCTGAACCCATGTGAGCATGTTGTATATAAGTTATGAGTTGAGAACATGTTCAACACAGCTCATTCATGTATAAATGTGATATGAATTGAGCAAACAACATATATGCATAGCATCAATCATATCTCAGTGTTCCTACCAGACATGCTTCTGTGGCCTACTAATATTTTTAGTGTTTTTTGATTTTGAGACTGAAGACTGTGAACATGTAAAAAAGAATTTCAGATTCTCCCAAGGATAACAGTGAGAAGCAGAAAAAGAAGCATCTGTATTGTGTTTATTGCAAGTATGTGTACTGTACAAGTTTTAGTTTAAATCTGTAAATCATCAAACATAACAATATGACATTTTACTGAATGTTTTATTTAGAAACAGAAAGTACAGTAGAACCTCGAAAACTCGGCCTAATGTGGACCGAAGGGTGGCCGAGTTTGTGAAAATGCCGGGTTATCGGGAATGGGGTTAAAAAAAATAAGTACGAGTGTTTCCTCAGAAAATACTGTACTGTACTTGTATGTATTGTTTACTTGAGAATATAACAGAGAATAAACTGCCCAAATACCCTTAAACAAAAAAAGTACGTCCTTTATGAAGGCATAGAGCCTTTACTACATGAAAATGAAAATTAATGAATACACTGTGTACAGTAATTTACCTGATAATACAGACCTGAGAAAAATACTTTATGAGAGCTTTTATACTTTTAAAAAGCTGTCTATAATGAAAATTAATTAACTAAGAATTCTTTTGCCCTGCCAGGGTGTGGCCGAGTTATCCGGAGTGCCGGGTTATCGAGAGCCGAGTTTTCGAGGTTCTACTGTATACTAATAACTTTGTTTATCTTTATGAATAAAGTTATTAGTTGCATTTAAACATAAACACAATAAATAATACTTACCAATTAGTATTTATAAACTGTGCAATGTTCACACTAAACTCCTGACCTTTAATTAATTTCCCTGACTACCATTCCAAAATCAAAAAAAGTCCTAATTCCAAAACATGTCTGGACCCAATGATTTCAGATAAATGATTGCATACTTACAACATAGCTCAATCAATAAAAATGTGTACAAACTATTGTACACATTTTTATTACATTGTGTTCTACTGTCTGTTGTTACATTAAAACTGTTTATATTATTGTAAATAAATCTACCCTCTACCTCCATCACTCTTTTAATAAACCTCAAAAATATATTTTGCCTAAGGTCTCAAAATCCTAGAGCTGCCCTCTGAACTTCTAATAGTTACAGTGTCTAACATTATTATATTGTCTAAATAGCTTACATCTTCATAGGTTTAGATTACAACTCAATAACTCTAATGTTAAAACAGACTTTCAAATCCATGGACTCTAATATAACTAATGACTTTTATTTCTACAAAAATTCTAGAGAAATGCAACCAATTAAAAAAGTTCAGCATATTAATAATTTTTTCCTTTATCAACTATTTCTTATCCATTCTTTTTTCTCCTCTCTATTTTGAGAAAAAATTATTTTTTCAGACATATATTACATAAAAGAAATTGAAGTAACTATTTTCCTTTCTATTTAAGTAACTCAACTGCATTATGATACAGTGGAACCTCGCTTAGCAAGCACCTCACATAATGAGTATTTCGCATAACGAGCAAAACAAATTGTAAAAAATTTACTCACTTAACGAGCGATGTTTTGCATAATGAGTGACAAGGAGAGGGGAAATCCCAGATTGTGCACATGCTCCATCAATTTGTGTTTAGCACTCGTTCCGCTAGCATCTTAGTGTCACTCGTGATCACACATTTTTCCCATACTTATGTTCACACATGTTACATATAAACATTGACAATCATAGTCCATTGTATAATAAACACGCCATCTTGTACTAAATTTAATGACCAATTTCAATTTTTAAAATGTCTAAATTAAAAATTATTTATTTATAATTATTAAATTTAATACAAGATAGCAGCATAACTGCCTACTTCTAGTCAAATTAATTAATTTATAATATTTAATTATAGCCTTTACATAGCCCAAGAATTTAGCATATTGTTTGGCATCTTCATCAGACATATTATGTTATTTTTTTTTTGTTTTCTACAAATTGAATTCACATTCCTGGTTGGTTCATTCCATGCTAGAAGAAAAGATGAAGATGATTCATGCTTCTTAACAATGTATATTGTGTAATTTTCTTTGAATAAACGTTATACATAAAATATTTTTTAGTATTTTTTCAGCATGGAACACATTATCGTATTTTACATTAATTTCTATGGGAAAAACTGAATTTGCTTAACAAGTGTTTTGCATTACAAGTAAGATCTGGAGCGAATTATGCTCGTTAGGCATGGTTCCACTGTATTAATAATAAAATTATTATTTGATCTGTTCACAGGCCAAATCAACTAACTCCATTTGTAAATCCTTAATATAATTGTTATTATTTTCAAATTTTTTGCATAACTAATTTTATATACCATTATATTAAAGCATGTATTTTTATATATTTTTATATTAAAGCTATGCTTTAATATAACAATGTATAAAAATAAATTCTGCAATGTTTATTTAAATTTAAAGTCTAAAGGGAATTTTAAAAAATAATTTATATTATCAATTTTTATACTTTTTGTTTTGTGGAGTTAATCGATTTGGCAAGTGAGCAGCTCATTTATTAACAATATACACTTATTTATGAAGCAATGTGATAAGCTTGTTAAAATTTAGTGCACTTTTCATTATATTTCATGAAGTATTAATATCTGAATTATAAAATGCTTTACTAGAGTGAATATTACATTAAAAACATGTAAGCACTTTCAAGCCTATTCTCAGGCAAGTTGATTCAAATCAATTTGCCTAAGCATATGATACAACATAGCCCATACATAATCAAAGGGCTTTGATCACTGTAGGCTTTGTAAACCCATTTTCTAATTATATTATTGGAAAGTGCATGTTAAATAAAATTAAAAAGGGATATTTCACAAATCCCTTTTCAATCTTACTTATCATTTAATATTTCTTTAATTAGGCAGTTTTTTAAAGATTGTATTAGTTCTGCTTTAAGTCTTGTTTAATCTTTACTATAAATGCTATTAATTTTTTCTACAGTAATGTCTATAAAATTTCAAAGCAAAATAGTATCTACTATAAATTAATTTAAAACTCCAAACCATAATATAAAAAATTTATTTATTTGTTGAAAAATATATTTGTTTGTCTTTTCTAATTATTTCAAAATAGTTTTCTTCATTTTAATGATATATACCAACTGTATCATATTTGACTTGAAAATAAAAAAGCAATATGACATTGTTTTACACAAATAAGTTATTTACAGCTGACATCTTAATTTTAATAAACATGTAATTAAATTAGTTTTATAACATGATTTTGTAAAGCATGTCTTATTTAATTAAATTTGTGTTATTAGTGAAAATTTAGACAATTTATATTTAAATATTTTGGATAATCTTTTATATTATAAATTTTTAAGTAATTTAACTTTATTCTAATATTCAAATTAATCCATACTTAATTAGTTAATATAATTATCAAACATAATATAAAATTTACTTAATATCTCATAAAATTCTTACCTCAACTCTTACAGTAAGATTATACTGTTGTATTCTTTCATAGTCTAATGGATAATTAACATATAGATCTGCCAAAGTGTCTCCATTTTCTGATCTCTGACTTAAATAAAATGTATCCTTTTTATTTGTTTGTTCTGTGCTTCCTTTCATCAATGTATAAAATACTGTTGGATTATCAGGAATGCCAGATCTAGGGAAATAAATTATTTTATTTAATAATGTAATTATTATAATTAATAAATAAATAAATATGTACATTTATTTGAAAATTAAATAAGATATTATGTTAAACAGTTTTGGAGTCTAATTCAAAACATTGCAAAATTTTATTTTGGCACATTGCTTCAATTTGTTTTCTTTACATAACAGAAATTTCATCATTTAAATAAACAAATATTTTAAAGGAATTATAACAGCAATTAATCAAAACTATAAAATTATAATCAAACAGCATTTAGTTACTTAAAATAAACACAGTGATCTACAAACTGTGAAACTGATAAGAATTTCTATGTCAATATGCAATTTTTAATAATTTTATTATATAGAGTTGAGAAATATTATCCATGTTTTCCTATCACATTAACTTTCTTCACATCAATGAAAGTTTAATGTTTAATTCTTGTATTTTCATTTCTTATATTTTCTCAAGGATTACTGTTCTCTTTTTTTGGTAATAATGTTGTTTTGATTTTTATGTTCAGTTCTTGAAGATAAACATCAATCCAAAAACATTTTACCCATTAAAAAACATTATATTACTAACAATAGTTTTGGTGTTAACTTGAAATATCTACAAGTGTTACACATTGAAGTAATATGGAATTTGGTTAATAATCAAATTATTAATTGAATTTTATGTAATTTTAGTGTGTAATACCTGAAGACAGTTCAGATTAATGCACTACATTCAAATCAAACTCCTTTATAATTAGTTATCCAAATAAAACAATTTTAGTTAACTGATATAAATGTCCTCCTGACTTTACTCTTTTATTAAAACAATCAATTATATTTTTAATAATGTTTTTAAATATGTCTATTTAATTTTATTTAATAATATATACATTATACAATAAGTTGGCAATATCTTTACTATAATGATTTTTAGATTACTTAGATGTTATCTGTTAACAGTAATTACTATTAGTTTTAAATCAAATATGAAATAGATAAAAAAAGAAAGCAGTCTGAGATTCCAGACTAAACTTGATCTTTCTTTCAACAAATTTTTGATGTTTCAGTTAAAAACACTATATATATAATACACATCCCAAAGCTCAATGAGTTAATATAATTATCCAATGATCACCTAAATATTCCAACTATAATATGGCTATAATCAAATGATTTATCGAAGGTTATATCGAAATTTAAATACTTCTGGAAGCAATTGCTGGCTTGAGGTCCGGGTGGTGCAATTGGTAGTGCACCACACAGCAAGCAGAGACTGTGAGTTCAAGCCCCACCCTGGGTCAGTTATTTTCTTCCAGAAGGTTCTAAATTATTTATTAAATTATAATTATTAATTTAGATAAGAGGTGGCACCTACACTTACCTCTAGTACCAAATTTATTTTTAGTAATTATTTGATTACAGCCATATTATAGCCCAAATATTTAGGCGATCATTGGATAATTATAAAAATGCTATTTCAAAACTTTTTATAAACATTAGAGTATAAAATGAAACAATTTCTACATAATTAGTGAACTTTATTCTTTTAAAACAATTGTAAGAGGAGAAAGAACATGTAACTAAAAATCCTTTATTGCTATCAAAAGCTAAAATGTCTGAATTTTTACTTAACTTTTAATAGGCTTTCCCCAAGCTTTAACCAATTTGTGAAAACTTTACTAAGCTGGCAAATGGTCGTTTTGGATCTCTGCTCCAAACATTCAAGTCACAAAAAGTCAAACAAAACTGAGAGAGAGAGATCCAGAGTGAGCAGTCTTCATCTGTTTTTTTTTTTTTTTTTTTTTGGTGGGTCCAGAGTTTCATGATCTACTGATCATGCCTTTAGTTCTTCATCCAAATCTCAGAAATACTTTAATTTGCTTTAAAACTTGTGACATCCTTAATCTAATGAAATGTGTATAAATTTACCAACCACAAAGCTAAAATATTGTGAGTGCATGAAATTAATATATGAAGCATGCAATGCCTTAATGTTGTAAATGCTATTTTTTTCTAAATACTATTGAAGAAGTTTTATTAAAGAATTGAATTCTAAATGCAATGTTTTCTGCCACAAAAAAATATTGTGGCAATATTGGCAGTGTAAGTGGCTGTATTTTGAAGATGAATTTATGTGAAAATATAACGTTTAAAGTGCCAGAGTGCAATTCACATGACTTTTGGCACATAAAACACTGTGGCTTATATTTACATCATTTTCATATTCCAGAGAATTTTTAACCCAATGAGATTTTTACAATTTTATTGAAAATTTGAATGAATTCATTCATTAGACAAAAAAAATGTTTTTACCTCTCCTGAAAAGTTTCTTTTTTGGCAGTTACAACATTATGGCATTACATGCTTGATATATTCTCTCTCTTCTGATATTATAGAACACTGCTACTTCCATTCTCTTATCTGTGTAAACCTCATGGTACCACATATGTAAGTATAGACATTATCAAATGTACAACTGATCATAAGTAACCATTCAGTCATGAACTGTCAATCCTCATAACAATTTTGCATTGTATTTTTATCCACTAAAACTAAGTTTTTCACATTCTATTTTTAAAAATAGGGTTTCTCTTATTTGACATCAGCAATATGACATTTTTAAGGGTTATAATAAACATAATTAACATTGTGAACCGCCGGGGAGGTCGGAAACCGTCGACTCTCCCTTTTCGGCAACAGGTCGTTAAACCTGCTCACTTGTCAAGATGGCTAAATTTCAGATGCGGTCCCGAAGGGTCGGGATTTTTGTTGTCAGGTCGAGTGGAGGAGGTGAGAGGGGTCGTCGACGAGGCGTAGGCGATATACGAGTAAAAGGACACCATTTAACAATGAGAACAACAATTTATTAGACTAACAAAACCGAAATAAAGAATAAAAAAACCAAAAACCGGGGGGGAGTGAATTTATTTCGCCTAACTCCTAACTCGCGGAGAGAGAGTTTACATTCATCGTTTCATACCTCAAGTCGATTCCAACGTAGGCACAGAGTTCGACGCACAAAGTTAAAGTTCCCGACGACTTAATCCTTTTGGACGGTAGATATGAGACTCCCCCGAGGAGGGGGAAAGAAGTCGCTTTTATAGCTTCGGGCTGGGAAAATCAATCATGTGATCACCTATTGTGAGCGATAGGGTTGGTCCTGCAGGTGTGGAGGTTAAAGTTGTTCCCGGGATCCAAAACAAAATGACGAATTCGGACTTTAACTATAAACTTTTTGTCTTGCAGCAGGGGAATGTCATTGTTCGAGGGTTGAATGTTTATACCAAAGCAGAATGTTATCAGTTTCCATCGACATCTGATTCTTTTTTCGACAATGTTATTTTAACGCGGAGGCGACAAATTTATTTCAAATACGTCGAAAATTT